TCTCTCAGATGAGAGTTTAAGAGACTTTTTGGGGGAGTCAATAAGAGCAGCAAAAGGGTTAGAAGCCAATATGATGGAATGAGCAGTGGATAGAAAAGGTCGTTTAAGGGAGGGTTTGTGTTTAGAGGGATAAAGAGTTTTTCTGGTGGCTTGGGGGTTTTGGAGAGCAATAGTTAGGGGGATCGAATCTTTATCAGAGGGTACTGACCCGTCTTGGCTGTCTGGTGGGATGGTAGGGGGGGTAAGAGAGTTTTGGATGTTGAATTTGAACACTGGGTTAGTTGCAATAGCCGGTTCAGTTGATGGTACGGTAGCGGATGGGGGATTTGGGTCATTAGGAGAATTACCCTCAAGGGGAGAATCAACTAAGGCTATTCCGGCAGTTGACATAGAAGGATGGTTAACTTGCGATATGACAGAATCGGAAGTTGACGTTTCCTGCGCATTGACGGGATCTTTCACAATTTCTTTCCCAGCTCTAGTATTGTTTGCTTGTACCTCATGTTCTTGTTGCTTTGCTTGAGCTGCAGGGATCCAAGTCCTGGTGATATGGAGACAGTCCTTAACTATGTGTCCAATCTGTTGACACGAGGAACAGGTGGGAGGGACCCATGGGTACTCCACCTTAACAAGAATGATTTCACCGCTTTGTCTTTTTATGTGAACTAGTGGAGGAAGTTGCTTAGATAAATCTGCGTCAACCTTTACATGAGCTATGTCAATGTCAGTCAAGTTTTTAGTGAACTCGTCTGTTTCTTTTGGCTCACCAACTAGTCCCGCAGCGAAACTTAAACCTTCTTGTGATCTCAGGTCAAGGGGGACACCCTTTAAGTGCGCCCAGATTGGAATGGAGCTCATCTCCGGCGCAGTTGGTGAAGAAGATGCAGACCATGGTGAGACATGAAACATAGCCGTACCAATATGCCAAAGTCTCTTCTCAATAACCTTCCTTCTGATGTATTGATTCGGTATTCTCACCAGCATAGTACGTTTGATAGTATTGGTATGAATCTCAAGCTTGACTCCTTCACCCCATAAGAAATTGAGAACATTTTCTATGGCTTTGTAGGAGGGCATTTTAGCAAAGAAAGTTCCCACTATGTAATCCTGAAGCATAGCAGCACCACGTTCAAAAACTGCATCAGGAACAGTGACTTGTGGAATGCCAGTGTCAGATAGGTCAGTGGGGGCAAGACGCCTTAATGACTTATCTGCTCCAATTTTTGCTTTGTCAGCCCAGGTAGTCGGCTTTGGAATAGAAGGTTGGGGGTTAGTGGTGGGGATTTCAGCAACCGAGGGGGGAGATGGGGTGTTGGTCTTGGAGGATGGTATATTGGTTTGAGAGGATGGTGTGTTGGTTTCAGGAGGTGTAGGAGATGGAGCCGGGGTTGAGACAGATGGGGTAGTTTTGGAAGAAAGTGAGGGTTGAGGTAAAGGTGGAGTAACAGTGTTTAGGGTTTGGTGAAAGGGGGTTTTTGCCGTTAAGGCAGGATTAGTGAAGAGGGGGGAGGAATCTTTGCGAGGAAGAGCACGAAGCCCTTCAAAGCAGTTGTGGATAAAACCATTAGGAATGGAGTTTGCAATTCCAGATCTGGGAGTAGGAATCTGAGTTGTCTGAGTCGAAGGGACATCAGTAGTTGAAGGAGAGCAACCAGAAATGCAAGGTTTAGATGCAGTCCCCTTTGGAGAAGAAATTTGCATTGGAGACCTAGATTTCCGAGTAGGAGTAGTAGCAGATAAAGGGGGAAAATCAGCAGGGAAGGGGGAAGGAGGGTCGGGGGGGTCGGGAGGGACGGGGAGGGGCGGGGGGAGGAGGCCACCAGAGGTAGCCGGCTACGGAAACAAGACGGAGGCACGGTCGGGGGAGAGCCAGGCGTTCTCCCTCTCACTCATTTCTCTAATAAACTTCTGAAAATAAAATTGTATGATTTGAAAGTAATTAATGTAACGTGCTTTGATTAATCATATGGTTGAAGCAAAATTTGGATAGGAACTAATCAGAGATGATCATATGATTTATTAACAAGGTTAGGTGTACCTAATAAAAAATCTTATGACTAATATGCGGCTTCCAAAGTCGTTCAGTCGGTTTCCCTTTGTGTGGAGAGATTACAAAGGAAAAACTGAAACTCATCTACAAGATTTAAACTGTTGTTAGCAGTTTTCATTCAATCCTTTCACGCCATGCAGTAACAACAAAATGGTTTAGATTGCGATTGATCAAACATGAAAATATTACTTGTATCGCCAAGAGAATGTGATAAAATTTGGGATATTTAGTGTTAGTTTAAATTTTTATATAGTTTTTGACGTCAAGATAATTATCTTGATTTATGATCCGAGTTTACAAGAAATACAAATGATTACAAAAATCATCGATTCCAAAAAAAGATTTGACTAAAGAAGTAAAATTTCAACGAAGTCATCCCATATAAAGCTTTACTCCTGATCACCTTCAACTGGATGTAATAAATGTGTTGGGTTAATATCATTTGAAGAAACTCCAAATTCTAAATACAAAAAAAAAAAACTAAATGAAATGAAACTAGTAAATTGATTTGAGTTCATATCTTACATTTAAACTATAGTGTATAAATAACTAAATAAACTAATTAAATCCTATCAGTTCAGGGTTCGTTGTTGTTACTTGTTTATGCTAAGGAATTTGTAAGTATACTTAAACTTCAGATACAAATGCAATAAAAACTAGCGAGTAGTCAATTTTCGGATAAAGTCAACACTGAAATAATTGTCCATCACAAACATCAATCACCTTCAGTTTAGAGCAATATGCTCGAGCTTCTTGGTTGACAATTTAACATTTTGTGATTGTTTTATTTGTGAAAGACCTGAAAACTAATTTGAGTGATAGATGCTTGAAAGCAAGTATTTAAATTACTTTGTACCTTCCTGCTTAATAATGACTTATATTCTACCATAACTTTTTTTTTTACAAATTACATATACAGTCACTTTTTACCCGGTGACGTAGTATTCCCTATAAGATTCGCTTGGGAAATCGACTCGTTGATCAACCAATCAAACATAATATAAAAGGTAAAAGTAAAGATGATTTTATCTGAAACGCTACGAAATACATACAAGGCAAGAGCTAGAAGTCTAAAAGTTTGTTTTCTAGAGGTCACAAACATGTGTTTACAATTAAAATATTAGTGCTATTCAGGTCGAAGTGATTTGTTCTGACTTACCTAGACAAACAGACAAATATCTTCAAAAATTTCTTCCTTTCAGAATTTCACGCACATGCAGACATATACAATAAACACCCATCTATGTATCCCTTGCTTTAATATATATTAGATATTATATGCAAAAGTATCTCTATTTGACATTGACAAAATAATGACAATTTTGATACTACTACCACCACTCTCTCTCCTGAGACTCTACATTTCTTATAGCCATAGAATTGGTAATCTCTCTTTCTCATTTTTTTAGATTATACTTCTTTCCCACCCTCAAATTCTCTCATCTTTTTTTTTTGTCATTCTCTCTTCTATTTTTTTTGTTCTTTTTTTAACCTGATGAAATATTTTTATCTTTAGATTTTCAAATTATTATTTCTATATATAATATTAAAAGATGTATTGTTAATAATACAATAGAACCTATATAAATTAATACTCGATAATTAATATACACTAAATATCTCTATAAAATAATATAATTTTATAGTCCAAAATTGAGGTTTTGGTTCAATTAGAATATCGATAAATTAATATATCTATAAATTAATAAAAAAATAAAATTTGGTGAAGTCCCAACATTATTAATTTATAGAGATTTCACTGTATATATAAAAATAATGTGGTGTTAGCTGTTAACAAATACATGTACCAATTGTATTAATAAATACATGTATTAATAGAGACATTAACTGTTAACAAATTTTGTAGATGTTAACAAGTGTCTTAGCTGTTAACAAATACATATACCATAATTGTTAACACATGTGTTAGTTGTTAACAAATTTATAGATGTTAATACATGCGTTGGATATTGTATGTTAACAAATAATTATTGTTAAAGTTTCAATTTCTCTATCGAACTGAGTAAATTTATCAGGTAATAAAATATGTATCAATTAACAAATGTGTCAACCGCTAACAATTAATCTAACACTAATATCGAATTTATAATAAACTGTAGATTTTAGAGATGTTGAAATCTTGTAATGAATTGTAATTTATGTTTTCAATCATTTCAAATGTTAAATTACTTTATCTATTATATTATTTTTATATTATACTTTCAAAAATATTATTATTTAATAATATTTTTAGCATTTTAAAAAATTTAACAAATGTGTGGACAATAGGACTCTGATTTTTTCTGTAACCAGTAAAAAATATGTTTTTAGTTGAAGAATGACATTTTTGTTCGGTAACCATCATTTCTAATTATCACTCAATGGGTAAATCACTAATAAGATCCTTGATTTGTGGCAAAAGGCTAATTCACCCTATATATTATGTGTGTGTATAAAATGCATCTATTTCAAGATGCAGAATTGAGAATTACAATAAAGATTTTAAAAAGGATCAAAATAGTGGTTTAGGCTTCTAGCTCTTCTTATATTAGGTGCTAAGAAGCTACGGATGAGGCCATGAGGCAGTGATGGGAAGCTGTAAGAGAGAATATAAAATCAAAAGAGGCAAAACTAACCATTGTCACAGCTTTCTCCCTCATCTTCCCTTTTCCTCCCTCAGAAACCAACTACATTCCAAATCACAAAAAGCCATCGATTATTGATCAAAAAAAAAAAGAAAAGAAAAAGCCATCGATTTCTTGTTTGTTTTGTAATTTTCTATTTCAACCCTTTTAGTATTTATTTTTGCATCCGGGTCCCAAAGAAAAAGTGAAAACCATTATTCTCTAAGCAAACCAGGATAAACAAGACTGAAACAAAGTTTTAAGACTTCACGTACAAAATAAACAAAGAGGAAAGGAAAGAACAACATTCGTCTTGTAAACCAATCTGTGATATGTTTTTTTGTACTGAATAAACAGAACCGAAACCAAATTTGATCGCAAATTGAACCAAGAGTAACCGGAGATTTTGTTGAATAATACATTTTCCAAAACTGTAAAAGACAAACCAACTTGAATGCCTTTTTTTTCTTTTTTTTTTTTGATGGAGCCTTTTTTTTAGCTATTCTACACTTTGGAAGATTTGGTGAATATATAATTAGCACATAATAATACAACGAGACACATTGTATATCATATTAACTTATCAGAAGTATAGTTTTCCTTTGTTCACGTCCTTTGCTTTGCGTGAACCACCCTCTAACCATGAGCCATTTTGACCTTCTCAATCCTCGTCTTCCTGTGCACTCGACCCCGCTTTGCGGAACAGGCTCATCATCCTACTTATTATTTCCTCAAAGGACGGTCGTTTTGCTGGATCACTGTTCCAAGAACGTATCACAAAAGGTTATAATTACCCTATCCAATATTTTGCGGAAATATTTAATGGAACAATGTATAATACGTATATCGTGTCTTACGTTTGCCAACAATCCTGTATTATGGATGCGATACGAGGATTTAATCCTTCAGGCAAGTCCAGCCGTCGGTCCATGAATCCCACAACTCCAACAACCTATTTAAACTTTGATTAGAATCTTTATGATTGTGCTATAGTCTCACAAGAACACTAGTCGAGAAGGTACCTGGATAGAGTTTAGACGGTCCCATGGTATTAAAGTAGTCATTAGCTCCCATAAGATGACTCCAAAGCTGAACACATCACACCTGTTACAACAGAATTATTGAGTATTTAATCCCGAAGTTCTAAGTTACTGAACAATGTCTCGCAAGAAAGAGAGTTAAATATAATATTGACGTACTTCTCATTCGAAGGTTCACTCCTTAGAACTTCAGGGGCCATCCACTGTGGCTGCACATAGAAAAAAGTATGAGTGATGGTTAGTTAGAGAAACCCAAGAATGTTTTGTCCATTTCGAGAATCAGAGATGGCTTACTGTTCCTTTCCCGGATCTAGTGCTTAAGAATGTTGCGTTCTTCCACTTTGACAGCCCAAAGTCTCCAACCTAGGGAAGAAACAAAAGTTGTAACTTTACAAGAGGCTAAACTCATTTTTACAGGCTTTTCATGAGTGCGGCTTGTGGAGGAAAGTCATTTATTTGTTGTACCTTGACATTCCAGTTTCTGTCGACTAGAAGATTGGAAGATTTCAAGTCTCTATGTACTATTGGAGGATTCCTTCGGTGCAAGTAATTCATTCCCCTAGCCTGCAATAACATTGAAGAACCCATATAAACTAAGCCTTTCACATGGTTTAATTCTTTTAATGCGAGGGAGGGTCTCTGGAAGATGAGAGTCTTACAACATCAAGGGCCATCCTCAAACGACGCTTCTTGTCCAGTGGCTGATTCGAACTATGAAGTATTTTGAAGAGACTCCCTCTACTCATCACAACCGTAAATAAACAAATTAACACAGGGTGCAGAAAAATCTATAACGCATTCAATAAGAAGTAAAACTACATCTAGACAAGAGGTTAATAATCTCACCTTGGCAGATACTCCATGACTATGGCAGATTTTTCTTCGGAGCATACTGCTCCCATAAATAACAGCACATTCGGATGTCTCAGTTTCTTCATAATGTTGATCTGAAGATATTGATCCCAACTGATTTGTTAGTTTTTTTTTTGTCTGGTACGGATTGTTTTGCAAAATATTTACATAGCAGAGAGAAGCAAATATGCATACCTCCTTTTTGCATTCCGTCCAAGTCATCGCGTTGTGATCACCCTCAAAGTAAACCTTAATAGCAACATCCTGGAACAAATAAACTGGACTAGTTAGCTATTCGCGTCCACTGATACAAGAACCATGTCTGAATTATCTTTAAATTACAAAAGACTTACCGATCCATTCCAAACTCCTCGATGAACAGCAGCAAATGAACCTGTGCGCAAACATAATGCATCAGAAAAATACGCAAATTCGATTCAGCACTAGACAAGGTACTGAATCTGCATTTCTAATAAAGTGAGTGTAAGACATTGGTAAACCAAATGCACCTCGTCCAACTTCTTCCCCAAGTTGAAGATCTTCCCACCGTATCTCACACGAGGAGTCGGTGACAAATCCATTATTCACTTGGCTCGATGGGCTTTGTTGCCTACCAACGCTGACTTCAAGGCCTGGAAAGGGATCAGCACTAGGCCGAGCAGTCCAAGCATCTTCTATCTCACCGTTTAAGTCCGACATTCTTGTTCCCCTGCCAGAAACCAAACCACACTCTGGTCCTTTTGGTGGTTTCTTTTGACTCAGATTCCCAATAAACTGAAAACGGTCTCTAGCAGGTGGTACTAACTGTCTCTCTTCAGTAAAACCTCGAGTAGCTCCACTCCCGTAGGCATCGGACAATCTAGTTTCAGACTGTTTTAGCTTTCCATTGCCATTGTCTCTGAAGGTCGTGCCGCTAACTCCATTAGAAGCCCTAGAAACAGATCCACTACCCCCAGCCATCTTATTTATTCCACTTCCTAAGATAGGCTCGTTATCTTCTTTTCCTTGGCTGCCAGTAATCTTCCTTTGCAGCTTCCCCAGAAACTTATCCGCCTACAATAGCATATATGCAGATTCACTAACAGCACAAGACATCAATTGTTCTACGAAATATCAATAAGAAGACTTACCATTGAACCGTACTTTTCGAAAGTTGTGGAGGCAACAACCGGAACATTTTCATCTCTGCTCCTAGAACTCTGATTTGCATTAAAGGAATCATCTCCATTTCTCTGTGGTAGAAGCTTCGACGCCTTATGAGTTCATGCAGACCACAGCAAAAATATAACAATCACTCATTTTGCACAACAAACAAACATCAAAAAAAAGAACCCAGAATCTGAGATATACCAGGTTTGAAACAGCTGATGTAATCTGCGGAACAGCTGGAAGATTCTGCGGCACTTCAACTATCTGAGGCCTCGGGAGGTGCCACTGGTGCTTCCTCAAATTCGATTCAGGTCTACTATTACCAAACGCTTGTTGATGATGCTCACTACTCAACGGATGCATCCTATTAAACAGCGTCGCATCGCTTGAAACAGTAACAACACCAACAAGCTCCCCGTCTTCATAAATAGGGCTTTTAGTCACCAGTGCCATGAATAACTCTCCTGTTTTCTTCTGAAACGGAAATTGACCAGTCCAAGTCTCCCCCCGGCATACCCTGTTCCTGATACTCATGAGGCAGTTACGATACTCCTCGGTTACAAGCACATCAATCGTTCTGTATCCAACAACTTCCTCCGCATACCAGTGGTAAAGATTCTCAGCTGATCGACTCCTGAATCAATAAAAAAAAAAAAATCTCTTCACACAGTAAACATATAGAATCTGTATTATGAGATCTCAGAGATTACGAAGATTTCCTTGAATATACATCTTTATACACAAATACTAGAATATGAAACATAAACCTAACTTATACACTAAAACTATAAACATATTCAACGCAATTTCGTAATCTCTCCAAGATCTTCCTAAGTGATATTTCACTCTCTAATTCTCTGAATGAACAGAGACTTAGATTCTCAAGTGAAGAACGACTCCTGAATCAACAAACCACCACTAATAGTTGTTTAACTCCTTAATCACAAGAGATTCCAAACTCTAATTCACTATATGAACTAATCGCATTACAAGAAACACATCACAAAACACCAAATCATTTCATTCGAACGAATCGCTCCTGATTCGATCACACACGTTATTAAGATTATACTAATCAGTTATCAGATTTTACCAGAATGTAATCTCTCCCGAACCAGCGGACGTTACATGGATCGCATGCCCCATGGAATCCATCAAAGTCCGATACGCACTATCGGCGAAGTAAAACCCCGACACAGCTCTCTCCCAAGTCGCCGACGGACTATCCCAAGCCTCCTCCGCCTCCTCCACGTCATCATCAGCCTCCGGCGCCGCCTCGATTCCGATCCTCCTCTCCTCCTGGTTCAACAGATCATCCACGTCCTCCCTCAGCCTCGCCTGACTCGTCTCCATCCTCTGGCACCATTCCACCAACACCTGGTAGAGACTCGAATCCGCCGCGTTGGTTCCGGCCATCGTGTGCTTCCGCCGGGGATTCTGTTGCGCAGACGCATCTGGTGAAATTTTCGCAGTTATTTAAAAATAAAATTAAAATAGGGTCGAGAAATGAGGCGTTCCTTATTGTTTATTAATTTCCCCATCGGCTTCTTAATTACTCGTGACGTCATAATTTAACAAACCCAGCTTTATATATAAACACTGTGACGTGTTAGGTTTGCGACACGTGGTCAGTAGGCTAATGAGGTGACGGCACGTGTTTAAAGGCCGATGTAAGTGAAAGATTGCGAAACAAAGGATTTTGTCAGGATTGAGGAGGCAATTTACGATTTTACCCTGCTTGTTGCCGCCATTCCCGAGAAGATGTCAACGGCATTCACATATTTATTAATTTATCGCTGACGTGATTTTTTTTCTAGTTTATTACCGCTTGGTTGATTATTTACTAAGTAGTGGGACAGAAAGAAATGCTAAAAATGATAATATAAAATCGCTGATTGGATGGTGAAAATATGAAAATTTTATTGACAGGTTATATCATGAATTTTTATTATGGGCTATAATTGATGTTTCAATTGATTTTATATATTGCTGATTGTAACATTAGGTCATCTGCAACAATAATATCAAATTTTGTATAAATTTATCTTTCATCGCATCAAATTTAGTATAATATTATTTACTATACTAAATCTTTAAAATACGTATTTTATTCTATTTTCTTTAATAAAATAATAATTATTAATTATTTCAAATTTGTATAAAATGTAAATATACTGTATTATTTGTATTTGTAATTATTTTACATATTTAGTTATTTTTAGTTTTTCAATTAATAAATCTCTGAATAAATAATAGGGCAATTCTCTCAAATAGTTCTCTTTTAAGTTTTTATCACAAAAATAGACCTCAAAAATTAAAATGACCAAAATAACATTTTTTATTTTGAAAATTTTAAGTTTTTTTATTTTTTTTAAATTCGAAACCCTATCCCCAAAACCTCACTCCTTAACTCTAAACGAAAAAATCTAGGATTAGTTAACCCAATGGTATAAATGTATATTTAATAAAACATTTAAGTGATATTTTGGTTATTTTAATTGTTAAGGTCTATATTTGTGATAAAAACTTTTTTAGATCTATTCTAGTCATTTTCTCTAAATAATAGGGAAATTCTCTTAAATAACCCTCTTTTAAGTTTTTATCACAAAAATAGACCTCAAAAATTAAAATGACCAAAATAGCACTTTTTATTTTGAAAATTTTAAGTTTTTTTTTTAAAAAAAAAATTTGAAATCATATCCCCAAAACTCCACTCCTCAACTCTAAACAAAAAAGTCTAGGATTAGTTAACCCAGTGGATAATATGTATATTTAATAAAACATTTAAGTGTTATTTTGGTCATTTTAATTGTTAAGGTCTATATTGTGACATTCTAGTCATTTTCTCTAAATATAATACTATTAAGTTTATCTAACACTAAAATTACATTTTTTTTTATCTCCTAATATAGTTAAACTTGTATTACTAACAAATAAATATTTCATTAAAACAAATATATTATTTTATTATTTTCTTTTCATATTTAATATTTTGTAATTTTAAATGAAATTAATATTTTAAATAAAAAATACATAAAATATAATATTGATAAACCAAAAAATATAAATGTAAACAAATTACATAAAACTATAAATTTAACAAATATAATATCTTAGCGTGATAAATAATTATTTATCAATTAGAAATAATAAAAATATAAAATTGTTAAAACTGAAAAGGTTAAAATATATAATACTATTTTGGTGTAAAATTTGGTGTCATTGTTGGAGACGACAAAAACATTATGACGCCAAAATACTAAATATAGTATACTTTCAACACTAAATTTGATTATTGTTGGAGATGTTTTTAGTGACTAGATTATTGGAAATATCGGTTAATTTGAATACATATTAGAATTTATAGTCTCTATAAGAATTTTAGTTACATTCTATTTTACTTAGAGGGTGTTATTGGTTAATGTATTTTGACTGATTTTATTTATTTTAAAAGGTACATTTTAGTTACATTCTGTTTTACTTATAAACCTTAATAACTACAAATCGTATTCTCCTCAGTTGCAGTCATTTCCGACTATATAGCATTCAAAAGTGACACTTAAAGGCTGTAAAGTGGTTCGTGCTATATAGGATTTTTCATTTAAGACGTGATTTGCTTGGGGTATGTTTGCGTTAACAAGATAGACAAGGCCATATCCTCGGCATTTTTTTGGCGATGGGGAAAGCTCGGATCTGGGAAAGCTCATCGACTCTAAATGAGGTCGGTTAACGAGAAACCAAGAAACCTTATTCTTGAAACTGATCTAAACTTGAATAATCTGTTTGGAGTTCCATAACTTTGATGTCTTCTTATTTTTGTTCATCTTTGGGAGTTACTCTAAAATTATTTATTATTGATTGATGAAGCCAAATAAATGGGTCAAATATAGCATGATGTTGGCTATAACATGAAACCCTTTTCCGATTTAGAGAGTCTAAATGTTTATCATCTTCGAATTAAAAAGCAGTTTCTATAGTTTGCTGGTATTATTCTCTGATATTCTCATCTATATACCTCTTACTCAATACTAATATTGTGATTTGTGCATATCAACTTACCAGATTAGCATAAAGAAATGATATTCAAGGCTAGAATGAAGATCTCGAAATTTTGGGGGATACAAAAGAAAGAAACTCTTCACTGTTTTTGTTTTGTGTGACAACCTAACAGTTCAACTTGATGGGTTTTGTGCAATCTTATTTAAACACACAATAACTACTTTAATTGTATTATAACAATCACAGAAGGTGGATTAAATTTATAATCTATAATGTTGGATATGGGTCGTGTATCTTCTTAGGTCCACAAGCTGACCGAGTCCAAAGAAGAAAGCGAAATTTATCTACGATGACTGATCTCCACCTGCTCGTTCATAAAACTTTTGACACACGCAATAAGACAATTCACCATAGCAGGACGCAAGGGAGAATTAGGACTGTATTGATGACTACAGAGAGCAGTTAAAGCGAAAGACAAAGATAATGTAGAAAAAAAAAAGGAGAAAATACGAGAAGAAAAAAGGGAGAATTAGATAAAATGACTACAAACTGATCTTAATCTATCAACTACACGAGTGTTCAAAAAAAAAAAAATCTATCAACTACACGTTCTCATTTTTTGAAAACAAAACTTTGCAGTCTTTTACTCGATTCGACTTCTACACTTCAATAAACATAATCTTTGGTCATAAACTTTCTTTTTATTGTTTGGTTAGTCTTAAATCTAGCTTTTTCAACATCAATACTATAAAAACAAAAACACAACTTGAAGTCTTAAATTTCGACCCTTATATTAATTATGCACCATAATATCACAAAACAGCATAATTATTGAACCATATTTAAATATTTATATAGTTATAAAGATACTCATATATTTTTTTTCTAAGATTTCAATTCAATAAGGTCTTACTATATCCTTTAAATATATATATATATATATAATACATATATATAGTTTAAAAACAAAATACACTTTATAAATATCTCAATAATTAAGGAATTCGTATTATACACTAATATGGATTTAATTTCGAGTTATATACACCATATAATTTTTTATATTTTTATAAAAATTTATATCATTATTAAGTATTGAATTAAATAATAAATATATCAAAATATTTTAATCTATTAAGTAATTATATAAATTTAAAATTAAATTAAAGTATATATACATACAAAATATTGAAAATTTTAGATTTTTTGATATAGTTTAATTTAGAAAAAAATATAAAATTAATTATTAATTTCATTATAATTTATTTTTTCAAATGTAGATATTAAAATTAGAAAATAATTATTTACAAATTAAAAATAAAATAATAAAACTAAATAATATATATAGTTTTTAGTAATATAGAAACAGTAGCAGTTAAGATTTTATTGTTTATAGATTTTACGGGTTATTTTATCAATCACCCAGCATATTAATCAAATATGGGAAATTTTTAGCAAACAAATTAACTCATTTATATTATTCTTATAAAAATAAAATTTGAGTAGTGCAATCGATGTTTATAGAAGTATTACTTTGTTACAAATAAATAAAACAAATGTGAGATAAACTAGATACATGAATTATTTTATTTTATATACTATGTAGTTATCTTATACTATAAAGAAGAAGTTACTCTCTTCTCATCATTACACCTCATCATATGACATCACTAATTAAGTTCTCTTATGTCTTGCCACGTGTCTTGACCTTTCGGTACACAGCGTCTTCTTAAGGATTCTCTTTGTACTGTTGGGTTTTTTCATTGACCTCTAACCCTAATACAACAGCAGTCGAGAAACAAAAAAGGTCATCTCTCTTCTTCATGAAAATTCTCTAGCGATTCTTCGTCTTCCATATTCTTCGGAGAATAGTCCTTGATTTTCTTCTGGATTCTGAGAAACTAGCATCATTGATCGAATCTCAAGCTTCGTTGAATCATAGTTTAGGCGATAGATCTCTTCTTCTGATTCGGCGAGTGTTGTAGATTGCTTGAGTTTCCATGGATCAGATTTGTTTCTCAAAATCAACATTTGGTCTTGGTGGATACTTTCACAGGTTTTGAGCTTCGTTGATCAATACGTTGAATTATAGGTTAGGCGACATATCTCTTTGGTCGTTTGTACCTTTTTGATTCGGCGAGTGTTGTTGATTGCCTGAGTTTCCATGGATCGGCCATTTACCTTATACTGGATGTACTCACAGATCACTAAGGCCTTTTGGAGAATTATGGTCCTGTGAGAGTTTACGATACCCCCATTACCGAGGTTTCAATTTCTTTTATTATGTAGTTTTTTATGTCCGTGTTTCTTAGATTGTGATAATTTCTGAAAGTCATCTTTTTTTTATAGGCTGGATTTACTGGAATTGGAGTTGGTGCCGCATATGCTGGCTTAAAGCCTGTTGTAGATTTTATGACGTTTAACTTTTCTATGCAGGTTAGCCTTTATTTTTCCTTACATCTTCTCTCTTTCCTTGATTTGATTAGGCATCACTGTTGCATTATGGGATCTTGCACTTTGGTGCAAATATGTTGACACTGAAGCTCACAGACATTCTTTTCTATTTGTATCCTAACATTTCTTTTGGAATTTGTTTCAGGCAATTGATCATATCATAAATTTTGCTGCAAAGCCAAATTACATGTCTGCTGGACAGATAAATGTACCCATCATCTTTAGAGGACCCAATGGTGCTGCTTCTGGTGTTGGTGCTCAGCATTCTCAGGTAAATGATAATTTTGTACAACATTACCTTCAGCATCTTTTATAATGATAATCAACATTACCTTCAAATTTTCCCAGACATTTGAATAATTGATTTAGATCAAGGTTCTTAGGACGGGATGTACAACTTCTGAGATGATCAACGTTGCAACCTTTCGTTTCTCCGATCAGATCAAAGTCTGGTTATTGTCACACTCACAATACCTGACCTTCTTCACTATTCTGATTCTTGCTTCAATATGTTTTAGATGCGCCTTCTGAAGAACTCAATTCATCTTGCAGGTATTTTTTCGTCTTTTTAAAAGGAAAACTAATGATTCATTTTTTGCAATATGACTTACACAAGTTTGTAACTCATTACTTGACCTTGCTGGAATCATGTGTGGACAATTCAGTAAATCATGTTGGAAATTTTTCCTTGGAACATTAACTGGAAAGGCAATCATCGAACACATACACAGGTTTGTGAGAGTATTTCTTTCGGTGCGTATTTCAGATTCGTTATGCAAAAGAAGTACTATTATGGTAAATTTCTAACATATGACAGAGAATTCTATCGCCACATGGCAGAACAACAGATGATGCTGTCTAAGTGCAATTCCGGCACCGCTGAGGCACCGGCTAAAAAAAAGAAAGAGGTAGCGTAAGTGCAACTTTTTTTCTTGCGCCAGTTAACCTTTCTGATGTAGAGAGTAAGACTTATTTCTTTTAGTTTTAGTTGGTTATGCACAATACTCTGATTCAGATTAATTTACATTACGGCGGTATGATCTTAATGACAACAGCTGATTTTTCACATGAAAATAAGCTTGGCCAAGGTGATTTGGTTCTTTCTATAAGGTAGTAATAACATTCTTTCTTAATAATTTTATTGAGATCTTGTGCTTGGAAGAGTAAAAGTTCTTAAGAACCGGTTTCAGGGGATATTATAACATGGGAAAGAGATAGCACTGAAAGAGATTAACCAGATGTTCAGAAGGAGGTATAGAGTTTAGGAATGGGGTTTCACTCTTGATAAGACTCCAGCATAGAGTTTATATATTCATGTGAGGGTTGGTATCATCAGTGACAAAGACTGATTTCAAGAAGTACTTTGCTCAGTTTAGGACTATCATTGATTATTTGGTGATTTATGACCACAAAACTAAACGTCATAGTTGCTTTGGCTTTGCTACATATGACGAAGAGGCTGTAAACAACGTGTTGCAGAGGCTGTTCCTTAAACTCGATGGGAATATGGTTGACTTCATAAGTGGCTTCCCTAAGGAAACGTCTCCCAACCCAAACCGGAACACGCTAATATAACTTCAGATCAAATTTATTGAGGGAACCCTTATCAGAATTATATTACCAGATCAAATAGAGTCTTTGGAATGATGTTTATCCTCGAGTATAATGCAAGTCTTAGCAGGTACGGTGGCTATGGAAATGGTTATGTCACTCAAAATCAACTATGGGTGATTAATGGTGGTGTGAGTTACATATCAAACACTGAATTAACCGGAAGGCTCAAGATCTCCACAAGAGGAGGAGTTGTTCATATGACCAGCTCGGGTTTGGGAATGTCCAGTAGAGGAGGCATGCGTGGTTTTGGATACATGAGCAACACAAAAGTAAGAACTAAGACAGCCTTTGCTCTTTTGATGATTGAAACAACGTGAAGATTATTAATAAATTGCTTCTAGCTTCGATGCTTAACAAATGTACTCTTATAGACATGAGATGATGTTGGGGTGAGTTTTAGAGAGAATTTTATTTGAGTCTCATATATTTCATATTTGAGTTTCTTTGTTTTTTGTTTAATCTTTGTTCCAATTTGGAATTTGTTTTATCAATAAATGGGCTCATCCCAATGCGACATGTGACTTGGTCATAATTTATCAAGTGATAAAATTTATAGTTTTTATTTATAAAGATACTTACAACTTTAAAATTTTAAAGAATTTATATATGATTTTGTTAATCAATATTATTATCTATATCCATGTATTTTAGTATTTTTGTTTTAATATATATAAATTGATTTTAAATAAATATTTAATTTATATATAACTTCTTATTTTAAATAAATAGAACACATCATAATTTATCAAAAAAATTATCAAAATCAACCTCAATTGTTGATGATATCAATTATTAACATTCTATAAAACCACTACAATAACTTTGACAAAGAATCCTACAAAAAAAGGATACAATGGTATTGGAAATATGGATCTCATCTTCTTTTAACCAAATATGACTGATTTATATATCTTATAGTGTTATAAAACTGAAAACACTATAAAACTTTACAATTTAGAATTATAAAAGCAAAATACTAAGAATTCAATAATTTTAGTTATATAGTTGAAATTTGTTGTAGACAACAAAATTATATTCACATTCAATCTAACATAAAACGAAATTTACATAAAGTTATAAGTTATTATAAAACTAATCCATCAAATCCCGCCCGTAGGGCGGGCCTACCCTAGTTTCTTTATAATTTTTAAGTGGGATATACAATACTAAACTACAAATAAATTTTATATGAACATATGTTATTCTGTTAAAAAGTAAAAATCAATACAATACATAGTAAACTTACAAGGATTACGATATTAAAAGTAAAATATTATAATTTTAAGTATGATATTGTATTATAGCATGGGTTAGTTGATAGAATAATTTTAATTTTTTTTTTTTTGCAATTTCTATTAAATTTACTCTTCACAAATCTAAAATAATTATATTAACATCTCATACTTTCGCATTATTTTACAATCTTAAGTTTGAAATCTAAACTTATGCACAACTAATAAAATATAAAACGACAATCCTCATAGATTATTTTCATCTAGTTTATAATCATTTAAATTAAAATTTGTATAGAATATTGATTACATCATTTCTTAAAATTAAAATCTGAACCTTTAAAAAAAACTATATAAAACTAATTATACATAAATTATGTAAGAAATTATAATTTTATTTAACGAAACTTAAAAAATAATTAGTAATTTGAAAGCACAGATCAAAATATAGTCTTAAAACTTATATGATTATCATTAAAAAACAATATAATTTTTTCAGTGAAAATATATAAGTGGACCAATATTTAAAAATAAAAATAAAATAAGATCCCCTATATATTATTTGCGAAGTGATTTTGCCACATGTCCTCTTTACAATTAGTTTCACAAAAAAATGATGATATGTCTACTATAATTGATGACATGGCATATGATTAAATATGACATGGACAATTGCATTTAATGTTAATATATATTTTTGGAAAACTTTATAAAATATGGTAACAACTCATATATTAGATTTAATGTCGATTTATATTTTTGGAAATATTTTTAAATATGGTAATAACTCATAAATCATCATTAAAATAAATATATTCAAATATGACATTATAAATTTCGAAAATATCTTTTAATTATATATTTTAAAATTATACAATTTATTACAAACTTTTCAAAAATGTATACCTTTTTTGAAAATTATTAAAATTTAATCGTAAAATTATTAATTTCTTATATATTTACAAATTTAATAAATATTGTCTAATTTTAATTTTTGATAATTATAAATTTTTCTACAAATTTATTTAATATATTTAATTAAAATAAATAGATAAAAAATGGATCTAAGATTATAATTTTAAATATATACATGCATATTCTTAAGAAAAATGGCTAGAATAGACCTAAAAAAGTTTTTATCACAAATATAGACCTTAACAATTAAAATGACCAAAATAGCACTTAAATTTTTTATTAAATATACATTTATACCCCTTGGATTAACTAATCCTAGATTTTTTTTGTTTAGAGTTGAGGAGTGGGATTTTGGAGCTAGGGTTTCGAATTTAAAAAAAAAATTAAAAAAAAACATAAAATTTTCAAAATAGAAAGTGCTACTTTTGTCATTTTAATTTTTGAGGTCTATTTTTGTGATAAAAAAACTTAAAAGAGGGCTATTTGAGAGAATTACCCTATTCTCAAATATAATTTAAAATAAAAAATTTTTTTTTTTTATTATTTTTATGTTTAATTAAAAAAAATTGTATTAAAATAGTGATAAGAAATAGAAAATTTTAATATTAATAAAATTTTAATTTTAAACATAATTTGGAAAACTTTACAAAATATGGAACAGCTCATATTAGATTTGCTATCGATTTATATTTTTGGAAATATTTTCAAAATATGATAATAACTCATAAATCATCATTAAAATAATTATATTCAAATATGGCATTATAAATTTCGAAAATATCATTTAATTATATATTTTAAAATTATACAATTTTACTACAAACTTTTCAAAAATGTATACCTTTTTGAAAATTATTAAAATTTAACTGTAAAATTATTAATTTCTTATATATTTACAAATTTAATAAATATTGTCTAATTTTAATTTTTGATAATTATAAAAATTTCTAAAAATTTATTTAATATATTTAATTAAAATAAATAGATAAAAAAGCTATCTAAGATTAGAATTTTAAATATATACATGAATATTCTTAAATATAATTTAAAATAAACAAAAATATTTTTCTATTATTTTTATTTTTACTTAAACAAAATTTTGTATTAAAATAGTGATAAGAAAAATAAAATTTCTAATATTAATTAAATTTAATTTTAAACATAATTTATATTGTATCTGCTAAAAAAATATTTTAAATTTTTTTACTGCACATGGTGCAGGAAAACACCTAGTAAAATAAAAAAGTGCCTTAATGGAGGATGAAGAACTTTAAAGAAGTGTTTTAGAAAGTACTGGGTGGTAATTGACTCAATGCCTAAGAGCACCTCCATTCATTAGGACCTTTAATGAGATTCAAGAATTAAAGTAATGGGTTATAAGGTGATTTAATTAGTTAAGAACATTAGTCAGTAGAAATTAATTTTTCCTCCTCCAATGGGAGAACCTCTCATAGGGTTCTTAAATTTTTTTATTTTTTCTTTTGCAGAATTATCTAAAATAAAAGCATACATAAAATTATAAATGACATAAAACATATTAAAATTACAAATACAAATCGTAAACGAGAAAAAGCCGATTAGTTGAAATCTTGATTTGTTCCAAATTTTTGCCATATATTCTCAACCAAATCAGCTTTCAGTTGTTGATGTATTGCTTTATCACGAACGTAATCCCGACGAGATCAAAAGGTGAATTGCCAGAGAATTTTTCTGATCAAAGAAGAAGAGAAAGAATGCATGTCGAAGAAGGAGAAAAAGAAATAAATGAAGGGTCCAATAAAAACGTGCCACGTTTCGCTCCTTACCAACTCTACCGTTCCTTCATTTAAGCCCGGTTCTTTCTTTTTTTCTCTTTTTTGATTTTTTTTTCCCATTTTTCTTTAAAACCCCCGTGTAGAAACACCGATGGAGGTGGCCTAACGTCTAAAGCGATTAAAAGGATGCCTAGATTATAAGTAAGGCAGTTTAGGCATTTATAAATTATACTATATACTAAAGCTATATAATATTTTATATTAATTAAATATTACTATTCACTAATGATAAAATTTATGTTCTTTTACTTATAAAAGATTTTACATTATAATATATTAATTATTATAATTATTAATAAGAAGTTGTATATTATTTGTTATTAAAATTTTGTAATTGTTTAGACAGTTTATAATGTAATCTCCATGGTTTTATAAAACTGAGCGCCTAATCGGGGCCGTTTTTATAATTCTGCTTTCAAGGATGGTACTCCTTCCATTTCAGTTTAGTTTTCGTTTTGGATTTTTGCACTCATGGTAAGAATTCATTTAATTTTTCATATTTTCTATTAAAAAAAACAAAATTACCTATACATTTAACAACATTTCAACCAATATAAAAATAGAATAGTAGATAAAGTTAATAAATTTTGTATTGAAATTATAAAACGACACTTATTTTGAAAAAAAAAAATTTATTCTACAACGACAAATAAATTGAAATAAAGGGAGTATAACTCTTTAAATTTCTCATAATTATCAAAATCTAAAAATTAATAAATAACAGTTTAAGTGGGGGTTATTGGTTCTAGTCTAGATTCAGAAATTCTTCTTGGATTTTGCAATTTTTGACAAATCCACACATTTAGAATCAAATAAGTAGATTTCAGAATCAATGAAATAGATTTAAAAATAAAAATAACTGAATTATTTTAAATCAGTCAAATGGATTTTTTCATAAGCTCAACTTTGTAACAAAACAAAATATGTATAAAACTACAATATACTATGTTTTATCATTTTCTATATCATATGTTATTATGATAACATAAAATCCATCACA